CTGAGATGCTTACAACGCCACTGGACCCAAAGAGTTTCTACCCACTGGCTTGTGATCGTCCTGTATTTGGCTTCATTGCATGTGTTTCGTGAGTCTGAAGAGGACTTTATAGATTGGTATCAGACACATGGGCTAATATCAGACTTATGGCCTTGGACTGGACTGGGTTGGGATATTTTCTTAATGTACAATTGCTCTTGTATATACACCTCTTCCTTAGACACATATGTGTGTCTGTGAATTTGTTTCCCTAGTCTGTCTGTACTAACACAATTACTGATGATTAGAATGAGAAAGTTGAAAACAAACCAGAAAGATTTAGTAGTTGGAAAATATGGCCCTGATAGAAATGGAGCTGGAGATGATGACAGAATTTTGCAAGAACAATGAATTCATTTCAAATAGCTTTATTCAACAGCATAAATGGGGACTATATACGTGTGGACCTAGCCAGATACACAAGAATCAAATTAACTGTATCTGTGGAAAGGAACAATGAAGAAGCTCCACATCAACAGCTGAAATAAGGCCAAAGGCCAAGTACAGTCCAGACCATCAATTGCTCCTTTGTAAATCCAAGCTGAAATCAAAGAAAATTAAAGCAAGTCTCAGACAGCCAAACTACAACCTTGAGTATATTCCACCTGAATATCAGGAACATCAAGGCAGATTTAATGACACACTCAACTCTAATGAATGAAGATCTGTGGGGTTCTGGGATGAAATCAATAAAATCACACATTAAGAGAGAAAAGGGGACTTAAAAAGAAAAGAAAGACAAGACTAAAGTGGAGGTTAGAAGAGACTGTGAAACTGGTTCTTGGATGCGTAGTAGCTAAAGCAAATTGGAACAATGAAACAAAAGAACTGAAAGAAAATTTCATAGGACAGCAAAGCATAATGAAATGTGCAAAGGACTGGAGTCAGAAAGCCAAAAGAAAAAACATGCTCAGCATAAGTAGAGCTATGAAGAAAAAATTCAAGTGTTGAGTTAAATGTTAAAAGATTTTATGGCCAAAATATTGAATACTACATGAAGAATCAATAAAAGATGGAAAGAATACCCAATCACTGTACCAAAAAGAATAGTTTGACACTTAAGCTTTTAAAATGGTAGCACAGGATCAAGAACTGATGGTACTGAAGGAAGAAACCCAAGCTACAATGAAGGCATTAGGGGAAAACAAGTCTTCAGGACTTGACAGAATACCAATAGAAATTTTTTAGCAAGCTAATGAAGGACTGACTAAGTCAATGCCAAGAAATTTAGAAAAGACAGCAACCTGCCATATTGATGCCGATTCCAAAGAAAAATGGTGTAATGGTATTTGAAGACTAGTGAATAACATCATTAGTTTCACACACACGTAAAATTTTGCTCAAGATAATGCAAAGTCAGCTGTAGCACTACCTCACCAAAGAGCTGCCAGGAACTCAAACTGAATCAGAAGAGGATGTGGTTTGAAGGGTATCATTACTGACATCAGATGGATCTTGACTGGAAGCAGAAAACACCAGAAAAATGTTCACTTGCGTTTTCTTGACTATACAATAGCATTCAGTTATGTGGATCATACTAAACTATGGATAAATACTAGTGAAGGATGGGAATTTTAAAACATTTAGGTGTGCACTTTGATCAAAGCTGGATTATATGTAGAAGAATGGGGCATCAGATTGTCAGAGTAGATTATGAAAGAGCCAACTATATTTTGCCCACAGAAAATGCATTATGTAAAAACAGAAATAAATTAAAAATTAGAAGATGGAAAATGATACATTGTGCAAATTAATAATTGATAATAGTTATTAAGTGTTAAATTTGAGGCACCCTTGTGGGGTAGTGGCTACCCAGTGGGATGCTAAA